AGCTGGTCATCTTCGTCATCCGAGTCCGAGTCCGGCGTCAGATCAGGCAGGTCGGAATCGAGACCGGAATCGGAATCGTCTCCGTCCTCAGGGCCAGAGAGGTCCACAGTGCAAACCGAGGGGAACGGGCCGGAGCGGAGACGCTTCTGAAGCGACCGGAGTCGCCGCAGCTCGGTCCGTTCGACGCGCTCTTCCTCACGGCAGGTCGAGCAATTGCGGGGGCACCGTGTCATCTTGACCTCCTTGGTTTCCCAATTGATCTCTGGGTTATGTTTCCGCAACCAGGAATACCCCAGGATGAGGTCTTGCTTGCCAAGATGGGTGACGGCCAGTTGAACTCGTTCGGCATGGCCCTTGTAGCGCAGGACCAAGTCCGCGATCTGTTTGATGGAGCCAGCGTCATTGGGGGTGCCATCGACATTGAAAACCGGAATCGGCTGATCGAGGGTGCGGACCGGAATGCCATTCCGAGCAACATAGTTCGTGTCAATGAAGTCGGAGGTGGCACCACAGTCGACAAGCCCAGAGAGTGAGAGCTTCAGCGCTGGTGGTGGACTCAAGCTCCAACGGGAGGTGGAGGGAGTTTGCCCCAGGGGCAGCGGCAACAGTGTACTGCTTGGGCAGTTTCTTTTCCCAGGCAGTGAGGCGGCGAAGGACGATGACCGGAGTCGCGGGCGGAGTCGGAGACGGAGTCGAGGCGGGGGCAGGAGAGGGTGTGTCTTTCGTTTCGGGCTCATTGTAGGGCAAGGAACTGCATTCATCATACAAAGAGGCAAAACGATTTATAGACGCGAACGAGGGCACACCAGTCACTCGTCGCGGGGACAAAATCCTCTCCAGCCATCGACTCCGCTGCCGTCTCCGGCAGGGCAGCTGTGTCCGTGTAGCGGGCGATCAACTCCGCTAACATCTCGTCTCCGAGTTGTTGGATCACCTCGTCGAGGATGTCCATTGAGCGGACATCCGCGGGAGGGGGCAATCCCGGCGAGATGGTTTGGGTCGCCGCACCTGAAGCAGGCGCGGCGAGGGGCACCCCGAGCCCTGGTGCGATCCAACTCCATTGGGACGGGAGCTGGAGGCGCCGGAGCGGGGGCGCGGGCCGCGGGTGGCACGACCGGAGCCACCGGGCGGAAGGGGGCCGGAGCCGGGATGCGGTTGACCGGAAACGGAGTCCGAATCAAACCACCAGGCGTCTTGGGGGCGGCTGACTTGATCAGCTTGGCCCGGACCAGGGCCTCATATTGACGGAAGGCCCGGGTGCGCCAGCTAAGGTAATCCCGGAGGTCCGGGGGGTCGTTCGAGGACGTGATTCCGTTGTTGATCAAGGGGTCAAGTCCGTGGCGGAACTTGGTCACCTTGACCAGCGCGTCTTCGAATCCGGCGAGGTCCATCAGGTCCTCGAGTCGTCGGTGTACTGGTAGACATCCTTTGTGCCCATGTGATAGGCGGAAGTCTCCAGCTTGGAGAGAGCGTGATCTTGCTCGTTCTCCTCAACGAACCGGAGTCGAAACTCGGAAACGAACGAGCCCCAGGACGGAAACGGAAACGGGGCTTTGCTTCCGTGGCGCTCCGCCCATTGCTGAGCGGGTCCTTCTGCCATAAACGACATGGCATAGCGGACGGCCTTTTCCTCGCTCGCCTCTCCGTTGACCACGAAGGCCTCAGGGGCAAGGCGGGCGCCGTTGAAGGTGAACGGGGGGTTTGGTCGCAAGACCAATTTTGAGGCGAGGTTGATGTCGCCAAAAAGGGCTTCGGAGTCGCCCTGGACCGGAGTCGGAGTCGGAATCGACGTCTCCGGGCGATGGTGTTTGGGGTCCGCCAGCATTATTAGCGGCGGCAGCGGCAGCGGAAGCCTGGTTGGTGAGTAAAGCAAGGGCCTCAGTTAGGCTATCGATTTTCGCCTCGAGTGAGTCCAGCCGGGCGTCTGCGGTAGGAGTGACTCCGGACGGCATGACGGGTGCGGGGACCACAGGAGTAGAGGAGGAGGGGACAAGTGGCAGGGGCGGTGACGAGGGCGGAACGGACTCGTACTCCGAGCCTGAGTCAGCGCCGAACCTGGCAATCTTGTCCGGTTGATCCCGTAGAGAGTTTCTTCTGCTGTAAGGGCAACCCCGGAGGCCTGATATCAAGGTCCTAGCAGGGGAGGATCCAAAGCGTGAACATTGGTAAGCAAATACAAATGAAGCTGACCTAGCAGGGGAGGATCCAAAGAGAAGAAACTCTAAGGGTCCGCCTGCTAGGGAGCTGACTATATACTGCTTGTCCGTAGCTGCCGCTGTCGGGCACAGAAGGCTTGGGCGGCGTCGCAGGCAAGGTCCCAGGGCGACCGTTGGGAGGGCGTTGACGGATCGGTGATTGTGCGGGCGAGATGGAGGGCCGGACCGGGAGGCGGAACCGGAGTCGGACCGGAATCGGAGGCGTGTCTGAGGGGCCGAAAGGGAGGTTCCCCTGACACCCCCTGGGACACTCCCCCCCTACCCCATGTCCGTGATAAGGATCTTGGGACCCCCTTTGCCTGTTTGCATGAGAAATCTTACCTGGTTTTAGGGGTGATCAAACATCCTTTTGGACTAGTTTCACTATGAAGACTTGTCACACTACTGTCAAGGTAAGGCTATGCAACAAGACATATACATTTGATAGGAATAGTGACAAGTGGGGATGTCATCAGGGCGATAATTGGATCAAAAGGGATAGGTGTGTGGTAGGAATCAACAGGGTGTGATAATATGCCAGTTTATATCAATACATAAAACAATATTCGTGATACCCTGGATCATATAAGTGAATGTTATACAAAAACTATGTAAGGGCAACCCCAGAGGCCTGATGTCAAGGTTCTAGCAGGGGAGGATCCAAAGGAGTGAATAGAAGTAAGCAAATACAAAGGAAGCTGACCTGGCAGGGGGGGATCCAAAGAGAAGAAACTCTAAGGGTCCGCCTGCTAGGGAGCTGACTATATACTGCTCATCCGTAGCTGCCGCTGTCAGGCATGGAAGGCCTGGGTGGCATCGCAGACAAGGTCCCAGGGCGACCGTTGGGAGGGCGTTGATGGATGGGTGATTGTACGCGTGAGATGGAGTGCCGGACCGGAGTTGGAACCGGAGTCGGACCGGAATCGGAATCGTCTCTGAGGGGCCGAAAGGGGGGGGGGGTTCCCGTGACAGGCTTGACACAGTGATCAAAACTATTGTTTGACACATCAATAATATATATTATGAACCACAATCCCCATCAAAATTAAAGCAATATAAAGGTGAAGATGAATAAAGAAAGAATAAGATCATGGTAAAACATAAGGACTAGGAACACCTAGATTTCTAGGCTACCACTAAGTATTCTAGCTATTCCTGGAACCTTTAGGCTAAATATTACCACTATGGCTCCTTATTCAAGCTCAAAAACAGTGGCATATTATTATTACCCCAATTTGTTAGATATGAGGGTGATTAGTTATATATAATAGCAGTTTGTTTCCTATTTCTAATATATTAGGTACACTTAGTACTGGCCCTGATTTTTGATCTATATGGTCTTACAGCCTATGATATACTTGGTGTATTTCTTTGCTACAAGTCATAGAGACACATTTATTAGCCACAACATTGTAGAGGGCCTTAAGTTAAGTCCAATCTGATGACTTAATGTTTGCCTCAATTTCTTACTAATCAAGTGTACTTTCCTGTAGTTTTGGTTGTCAGCTTACCAAGTTGTGAAACTACACATGTTTATTTGTACTTAGTATTAGGGGAACTCCCCCTTCAGACCTCTCAGCCCCTTTGGACCACCACTCTGGGCACTCTGCTCCACCGCCCTCCACCCTCTGGCCGCCGCTCCACCTCACCACCCTCCATGGCCCCCCTTGCCCGCACTATCACCAATCTGTCAACACCCTTCCAATGGTCACCTGGGGAAGTTGGGACAAGGCTTGTGACACCACACAGGCCCTCTGGTCAGAGCAATGATCATCCTTGGTGTCAGACCCGCAGTATATAGTCAGCAGCCTACCAGGTGGACACTTAGAGTTTCTTCTCTTTGGATCCTCCCCTGCTAGGACCTTGTCACAGATAAGACCCGGCCTATTCACTCCGGGCGCTGGTGTCGTGCCACCGCGGGCCCGTAACACGCAGCATGTGACGACAGTAAACATGCGCCCCAGTCGGAGGAACGGACACGTGGGAAGCACTACCTGTTTAGCCCACAAAACACTGTGAGTTATCAGCGGGCCAGCGGTAACCCGCTGGGGTGCCATTGACAATCAGAACATGCACTGAGGTGAATAATTGCTGGTGAGAGGGGTGAATAAAGTCGAACTCTAAGGCAAAATTAAATGTAGATTTTATTACCAGCTTTGATAGCATGATGAGGTCATATGATAAGCGATCGTGGGAATATATTACCTGATATGGTAAGGGGACGGGGGGGAGGGGGGTCCCCAGAAGGCCCTTAAAAAACTTTTCGATGCTATATCTGTTTTTTAAAGGATTTTTTTTTAAATTTCAATGAAGATAATAATGATTGAACAAAATAGTGACCTTCATTGATTAGAAAAAAAGGTTTAAAGAATGTCAAATAGATAGGAAGGAAATCTAACCAGAAAAATGTTTCTCGGATTGTAGAGAAAAAGGGTGCATATGTGGGAAAAATGGAAGATATCTGGGCATAAGAGGCCTTTTTGTATCACAATGTTGATTCTTGTTGGTCTGATAAGATTGCTGTTCTACTTATTGTGTCTTTTTAAATCCATTTTTCCCAACAAATAAAAATGTCCTTTTTTGGGTCATTACTTATTATCCGCGTAGGGTGACTAGGGTCCCCGATGACAACACTGACGACAATGACCCTGGAGGGGATGATAACGAGGACGACTTCATCCTGCATGCACAGGAGGTGGATAGGGAGGACGAGGTGCCGGTATCGGACAATTCGGATCCGGAGGAAGTGTGACAGAGGCCGTGACCGAGGCTGTGATTTCCCTTTGGGGATAATCGTCCTTGTCACTAACCACGATGAAGGCGCTCACGCAAAGTGCGTCCCTGCCATCCTGTCTGACGTGAAATCTCACTGGACATGTAGAGCTGTGTAATTTGCTCTCCACCGCACCATCCACTACGGTGCGTTTGCGGTGGAAGAACGAGCATGAAGCTTTCGGGAGCTTTGTGGCCTTCCTCGACAAGGAAGATGACGGCGACGACGAGCCGATACTTTCCAGACAAGGACACAGTCAGTCCCAAGCCTATATCAGCGCTCTGCCGACAGAACTTCTCGGCCACATCTTCATAGAGGTCTGCCGCGCCATGGTCCCGAATGTCCTCGCCTTCGACCCGTCGCACGGGTATTTCGGCCCGCATTTCTGGAACTTTCAATGCAGCTACGTGTGCGTCCACTGGCGTCAAGTGGCCCTCAGTACCCCACAGCTCTGGGCCTTCATTGACTTTTCGACTCCGAGACGAACCAAGCTTTGCTTTCGCCGTGCGAAGGCAACTCCGCTTGTCATAGCTTGCCGCATTCTACCGTATTTGGTGCCGCGGAAACGTCGCCACGCGAAGGCGGCGCTTGAGGGCCGTCTTTGGCTGGTGCTCGAGCGCGGGAGGAAGCAGGTCAAGGAAATTCGTCTCCGTGGCTCCTGGATTCATACATACGTTTCGTATACTTTGCGGCATCGCTCGGGCTTCCCGCTCCTCACCGAGATGGTCCTCGATATTCAGATGGACAACACCTATGCATCTAAGACACAATTCCCGCCGCAATCGCCTCCAACAAACCCGCTCTTACACACGCTCGATACTGGAGGGAATGTGGGCGACATCGCTCAGTTTGGACAGACTTTGTGCGCGCTTCGCATTGCGTGGGACCCCAATGCCGAAGGCGATCTGCTGCACGTCCTTTCCGCCTGCAGCCGCCTGCAAACGCTGACCGTCCACGCATCCTCGCGCCATCAATCGCCGCCCCTCCGCATCCCCGCCAGACCGACACTCCTCCCTTGTCTTCTTTCGATTGACATCACAGAGGACGGGTTGGCCCCGTCTGCCGCTATGCTACTTTTGAATAACATCTCCCTCCCGCGGCTAGCCTCCTGTCGTGTCAAATTTCGGGACAATCCGCCAGACGCCGAACACATCAGGAGCATTCTCGCCACCCACTTCCATGATGCGGCTCCCACAGCCCAGACCATAATTGCGGATCCCGACGCGCAGTACACCCTCCGGTTCTCCCTCGCGTTCCGCTTCTGTGCGAGTCTGGATCCGGCTCTGGCCGGGCCCCGCGAACTAGCGCTCTCGTGGGTTCGTGAGTCCCGTCCGAGTCGTGACCCCACCGCGCAGGTCGCGTTCGCCGCCGCGTGGAGCGCCGTTGACACGCTCTCCCTTTCCCTGGGCGCCGAGGACCATATGGCGGAAGGTCCTCGACCCTGGGTCCATGCCAAGTTTGCGGCAGTTGACGATTGTGTTGCGCACAGAGGCATTGGATATGGGAACAGAGGACTGGGCGCGACTGCTTGATGTGGTTGGCAGGTCCATGGATCGAAGGTCATGGTGGCACTGGTAGACTCCGACATGAACGGGAGGGTCTTGGGCAAATTTGGAGGCCAGTCGTACGTCACATCCGATTAAGACAGTGAGATATGTATAACAGTATAAGTACCACATGAACAGTTCTCGAGCTCACAAGCGTGGCACGATATTTCAAGCGTTACTTCAGCTGCAGGCCATCCAACAGAGTCTCTGTAGTGTCTTGACCAGGAGGGCAGATGCAGCTCTTTTTCGACGAGATTGGGGAGCTACCAGTCGCCGCCCGTCACCGTCGGGAAGGAAAGTGTTGACAAATTGATAGCCGAGTCACACTTGCCGTCATCGAATCATGATGTGGCACAGCCTCCCGATTTTTGGCTTCTCACTCCATGTCGTTCGCCAGCAACGAATACATGGATTCCGCAAACAGCTCACGCGGGAACAAGGGTATTCAATTGGGTGAACTGCAGGATCGTCGACCGTCTTCCTTGACGGCTTTGCTGGTGCGTCCGCAGCGAGTGCGTTGTGTCATTGACGATGAGTGGCAGACTGCTTTCACACAGGGCCATAAGCGGATATACTTAGACCAGGCTTCGTTAGATGGGCAAGGTGCGATGCATCATTCACGAAGTTAGATTGTTGCTGACAGCCTTTTCATATATTCAGCGAAGAAACGGACAGTCTCAGGCTCCTTCCTCATCCATCCACTCATTCCATGCCCTCTCACAGACCCACTCCTTCACTCCCTCTCGTTCTCCTCTCTCTGTCTCCCATTCTCTACCCTTCTGTTTATGCGGCCACCAATACGACCTTCGACGACGCGCACCCGAGCTTTGCTTTCTCCTCGCACTGGAAGGCCGTCTCGCCTGCCTTCCCGTGCACCGGCTGCCTCACACAGCCCGACCCCGCCCAGACGTTAGACGGGACATGGCACGATGGGAATGTTTTCGCGACCGCGACGGACGTGCGCTGGGGCTCGTTCACCTTCACCGGTGCGTGATAACACTGGTCCTTGAACTGTGATGACGTTGGGCAGGCCACGCAGTGTATATATACGGCATTGACGAGCTCAACTCGGAGCCGGACATCGTCTTTACACTTGACGGTGCGGCGGCAGGCACGCACCACTACGCGGGGCCAGGGGCCGGGACAGTCTACCATGCACTTTATTTCGCCAGGACGGGTCTGAGCGAGGAGACACATACCGTGTCATGGGAACTGCGGTATAACACGGCGTCCGGGGTCGACCAGCAGGTTGCGCTGTTCGACTATGCAATGGTGACGACTGGGGCGGAGGCGGGCGGCGGGGGCGGAAGTGGAAGTGGAAGTGTTGGTGGGGCGGAGGCGGGCGGCGGGGGCGGAAGTGGAAGTGGAAGTGTTGGTGGGGGCGGAGACGAGACATCAACTCCTACAAAGCCAGAAGAGTCGGTATCTGCGGGGAGCGGAAGCGGGCAGTCTCTCGCGTTCGTGACTACTAGTATTCTTTGCAGTTGACGTTTGCTGATGTCAACCGTCCAGGAACCACTCAGCAACGCCGGTGACTTCTGTGGACCCCCGATCCAGCACAAAAGCTGGGCTGAATCCGGGGCTGAGGTGCGTCTCTGTTGCGGCAACATCCCCTTCTACTCACGCTGGTAGCGCTTCCACCAATATCGGGCAGAAGTCACTCCCGTCGACCGCAATTCCCCCATCCCTACCTTCCAATCCCGAGTCTGCCGCCTGTGTAGGGCGTAACCGGCTGGGGACGATACTAGGCACCATATTCGGTGTTATCGTCCTCATCGCGCTGCTACTGGGACTCTTCCTCAGGCGCCGGTTTCAGAAGAAGAACAAGACATCGGCCCCGCCTCCTGTTGAATCGTTTCTCGCCGAGGCAGTGCGGGACGAACCGCGTTGGGAGTGGGAGAAAGGTCGGTTTCATTCGGGTACGGTATCATACTGAATGGCAGCGCTAATAAGCCGCCTAGGGCCGTCCCGCGGCTTATCGCTCATGCGGGTCTCCCTACCAGCCTCCCCTCTCGCAATTTCGCCCTCTACCGTAACCATGGGCAGCGGCGTTTTCTCGAATACGCCATCGTCGCAGTCCCCGCCAGCGCCAGCAATTACGGTGCCGCCCGCCATGGCACATGTACAGACAGAGCGGGAACGTCTGCTGGAGGCACGTGTGGCCGAACTGGAAGGGGATATGCAGCGATATCGCGATGGCAATGGGGAAGTGGAGCGGGAAGAGCAGCCGCCGCCGTATATGGGCCGTGTGTCCCAGTAGCAATGCGCGCATAGGTATTATTAACAGGCACGTTTCATTCGGCTCATGGCTTATGTCTGTTGTCGAGAGAGAAAAAATCAAAAAAAATCAAAGAGAAAAAGAGGGGGAAATGGGAAAAATCATACCAATATTGAGTAGTATCTTGTGTACCCTGTGGCAATGAATTCCGGGCCTAAATATGCCCCTACGGAGCACCCGAGAGCTCGAAAGTCCGAAATATCAAACAGCGCGTTAAGCCGCCTGATCCCAAATATCAAACCTATCTCTTTTAGGACGACTGCCGAAAAGAGATAGGCCCCAGCCAATGAGAATCAAACGTTCGACGGCTGATCGGAGGTTCTGTCCGAGGCCGCGTTGATCACCGTTCGTTGCCACTCGCGTCGACCCTCGAGGACAACACGTCCATGTCTGCTGTTGCCAATGGGCTCACTAACCGCCCTCCGCCATCTTGTCTCACCTCCAGCCTTGCTGCTGCCGCCAATCGACTCTCCTGCCAGCTCACACCTTAACCACGATGCGCGAAGACTTGACGATGGATGCCGCTGAAGGTTTGCCACGAGCTGGGCTACTTTGGAAGCTTCAGCATACTCAGGTCGATTGTCTGTGAGGCTCAGACTCCGTTTTTGGTGCGTCTGCGACATCTTTCATGCATTTTTCATTCGACTGACGCTGTCTTTGGCCCACAGCTTCAAATAATAAGGCCTCGCGCTGCCAACAACGCCTCATTGACACCACCCAGCGACCTCCTCTACCCTCCCACGTCCTCAACTGCCTTCAAGAATCCCTTCACGCTCGCGGTCCACCTCGAATATTGTTTGAAGAACGCGCTTCTCGGTAAGACCAATTCGCGCCGCTGGGAATCGACAATCGGTGGGAACGGTTGCAAACGGTCGCAAGAACTGCTTTTCGCTGGCGACAACTGGTCTAGTACTGTATATCTGGTGCGTTCATCTTGCTCTTTCACGTTTATTCCGCTAACACACATTCAGATTTGCTTGTACCTAGTTTACTCCCTCAATACATCGATTTTACTTCAAGCTCTACGTGCGCGATATCGTTTACGTGTCGCCGCATCAGTCCCAAGCTCGCGATGGTCCGCACGCATGAAATGCTCACAACCCTCCCTTCCCCTTCCTTTTCCTCGACAATTGTACTCATAGCCACATCGAGCGGCAGCGCAAGGAGCGCAACGGCGTTTCTGTCTCTTCACTGGAGCAGAACTTGCTGCCTTCACCTCCGTGCGAGCCTTCTTGGTAAGGCGTGCCTCCTCCATCCAGTCGTAGTCATCATCCAGTGGTGGTGGCGATTCAAAAGCGAGAACTGTCTGATGCAGCTCGAGTGGGGGTTCAGGCTCATGAGCATCAACGGTTGGAGGCTCCATGGTGGGCATAGCAGCTATCGCATCAACAATGGTGTGTTGAACGCTTGATCGTGCACGCATTACTGTTGGATTGAACGCAAGAGCGTGCACACTGACTTGAGCTATAATGAGGTGAGTAGTGAGCGCAGAAAGGCAAAGGCACGTACACTTTGTGAAGTCTAAATCAGTTGGCTCATGCATGATAGCAGGTAGTACAACTGCTTTGCGTGCTGGGTCACTGAGCAGCTCGTGGATGGGCTGAAGGGCAGTGACATTCTCGCCCAAATGCAGTGTTGCACGAGTCATCTTCCACTGGAGCGACTTTTTATGGTGGCGTTCAAGTTGCTCCGGCAGCTTGAAGTACAGTCGTTTCTCAGCAGCAAGCTCTGTTGGTGGCTGGGTAACAACACGTCGGTTCCAGAACTTTGCCAACGCTGCATAGTCTGTAGCCTTGTAGATCTGCTCTGGGGATGTAGGTGTGTTGGAGGGAATGAACGAAGCAATGTTTTCAATGAAGAATTCGAACTCGCGGCGAGTATGGACTGGGACAACGGCAGCAGTGGTACGTTGGCGTGTTTGGAGGTACCGATAAAGGTTGACAGGCTTTGTAGAAAGTTGAGTGAGCGCGAAGGAGGGTGTGTCGTTGTGATGTGATGCTGCAAGCACATTGACCGGGGGTAGGATTGGAATTTCATGTTCATTGGCGATGGCGGCAGTAATGGGGATGATGCCAAATGTTTCTGAGGTTGCAATTCGTGTCGCAAGCAGCTTCGGCTCAGGGAAGGTTGGCTTGACCTCAAGTCTGATGGCAGTTTCCACAATATCGTCCAGGAGCCAAATGTCAAAATGGTTATTCCAGCGTGTTCCAGTACGATTGTAATGCCCAATCTTGTAGAAATAGTTTTAGACTGAAAAAATTTAACAATTATATGCTCACCCGTCGGTTTCTGCGCATGAACCAATTGGCTAGGATTGCTTCAGTGAGTGCAAGAGATGCATGAAGTGAGCCAAAAATACGCCGAATCTGCTTGTGAACACCACCCTCAACTGAATTGGTCCCGCGAACAGTCCGATAGAGGTTCAAACCATCCTTGTCACGGCCAATCCAGTAATAAAGTGCAAGACCAGGCAGGTCGGAGAGAAAACCAAGTCGAGCAGTCTCGATAAGTGCTGCAGCTTGTTTCTGAGCATCTTTGGAGAAAAATGGTTTGCCGTCGGCATCACGAACATCCTGGAAGCAGGCAAAAAGAACAAGCAGATCGCGCACCAGCTTTTCTGGTGATGGGATGTATCGTCGAATGCGTCGATGAAGGGCTGCTTTTCGTGCACGAATCGCATACTCCCAACTGATACCCTTTTTTGCCAAAATTGCACGTACTTTTGCCTCGTCCTCAGCGTCACGGATAAAGATAGTCTCGCTGAAGAGGTGGGCAAATTCCTTGAAGGCTGGATGCTTTTTTGAAAGCAGACGGAGTAAACGATCCATAAAATGGTATGCGTCGTCGAGGATTCGGCTGGCAAGTGTCTGGGACGTATGAGGCTGATTGATGATATCTTGGGCGTGTTGAATTGAGTCCCGCAGCATTTGTTCAAGATTATCAGCAGTCACTTCGGGTAAAGAGCCCTACAGGAAATCAGCTGCTATAGAAAAGCAATATAATAACATACCATGAGATCATCATTGTCGGTATCTTCTTCTTCAACATGCTCGACAACCATCTGCTCATTTTCAATAGCAGCCAAAACCTCGTCCCGACGTGTTGGTGCCTCAGACGCAAGCTGTTCAGCAACTGATGGAATGGTAATTGGTGCAGGAATGCCCAAATCAGGGTCTGATGATGGCTCGGTAGCAGGATGAGGAGGGTCGACCGCGCGACTGTGAAGTGTACGTGTCTGGACAACCGCATAGCCACCATTAATGCTCAGCCACTCGAGTGTCTGGTGATGCTTAGCAATAATGTAGCCAGGCACAAACAGCTTTATAAGCTTGATGACCGAGTACATCTTGGTCACCTTTACCACTCCCACAGTATTTGGTACGACAAGCTGCCCATTGTGCGAAGCAAGTTCTCCCCATGCCAGTGTCTTGTTGCTGATAACAAGTGCGACCGGCTGGCCTGCACGTAACTGAGCAGGCTGGAGCAGAATACCGACAGACCCAAGCATCATCAATGAGCATTGTATAGACCATGCACAATCGACTTGGGCAGCAAGTTCAGCAGTCCGTGAGGTTGGGGGAGGAAGTGGTTGATCAAGTCGCTGTTTGAGAACAGCACCACACAATGTTGGAAGTGAGCAGTTTGGATCAGTTGCGACTCCCTTTAATTTAGCAAGTTTACCAAGATCGACAAGAGTTGATGATGGGATGGTTATAGTCCAGGTTGACATTAGGCGCTGCGTAGAGACAGTAATACCATGGCCAAATTTGACAATACGAGGATGGGTAAGGACTGAAATGAGGGAGGGAGGAGGCCGCAGAAGAAGTACGGCCTGACAAGTAAGTCAGCACAGTGGTTAATAGCAAAGATAGGATAAGCGTACATCAAGAACCAAGATTCGAGATTGAGTACGGATAAGAATAGTGCGAATGTGGTTATTTTCCAACTCAAGTGAGAGTGCAAGGTAAATAGAGTCACTTGGTGGGAGAGAACGGATAATCTCATCACAGAGTGTGTCAATCCGGTCTGGCGAGCTGGCATAAACAGGCTCCATTGATGTCGCAAATGCTGGAAGATCACGAAAAGGGTCAATAATAATGTGCTCAACATTGTGTTTGAGCGATGGAGTTATGCGTTCATGCCATGCTCGTTCAGCTAGAAGGAATGAGACAGGCGAAATTAATGACCAATTCAATATACACACCCCGCGGGTTATCACAGTACAATAGCTCCGTTGGCTTATGCCCATGGCGGGGAAGCTCATTCTTGAGACGGTCATACATCTCTTCCAATGGTGCAAAACCTTGTGTCAATGTGAGGCCATAGAAGCGGACTTCCTCATCAGTGTTGACAGCATCATACAAAGCTGTATGGATTGGTTCTCCACCTGGAAGCCGGCCTTGGTGGTCGACAGTCTGAAAATGATTAATATTTGTGAGAACGGTGAGAAAAGAAAGTACTTTAAAGGTGTGGTCAGCTTTAATGATTGTTGCAGAGAGCGAAGACATGATACGGTCCATGTACAAGCGGCAAGATGAGAACCACGCAATAAAAATACTCTTGAGGTACTTTGTGGAAGGCGCATACCCAGCAAAGCCCAGGGCGTCACGGAAGGGAGAGAATGGAGGAATACGTGGGCCACGTAGTCCATAATGGAGAGCAGCATGGAGGTACATAGACTCGAGGCGGCTATGCTGGAGGTACTTTAGCTCACGCACCATTTTCGAAAATGGATCCGGGCCGAACCGACCCGCAAACATGATTTTCATCATATCCATTTGCGAACGGTCAATGGCTGAACGGTGGCTTATAACAACTGAGAAAAGTCAGAATGTAGAATTAGACCAACAACAAGCAAACAAACCAGGGAAGCGGTCCTGAACAAACTTTGGCAGTTGACCCAGAATCCATGGATCACTGCCCTGGTACGTCTTGCCGCAGCCCCGGGTGTTTCCTTCACGATGAGGGCAGTAATGGCGCTTGGTAAGGAGGAAATAGTCGGAGCCAGACGTTGTACAGACACGACGTGCAATTGGCTTTGTGTTCCAGCCTATTTAATTGTAGTCAGTTTGAGTAAACGAGCGAATTGAGTAAGAGACACAGACTATGCTTATTCAGAAACTCCCCACATTCACAGGTAAAGTGGTCTGGACGGCCAGGGAGGTAGTCCGGAAGCCAAACGAAAATCGGAAGGCGATACAATGCATCGGGAGCATATATCTCAGTTGTCGCGGCCTTTCGTAATGCGAAAATGGGATCTTTTGGATAAATCCACAGTTGTTCATCACGGTAGACTTGTGGTGAATGGTTGTCGGCAGTCTCCTTCTTGAGTTTTTCAAGCGTCGATTGCAGCCACTGCTCGTTCACAGAGTCTACAGCAACTTCTGCTTCATCCTGCTCCGCCTCTAACCCGTCCTCATCGTCCTCGTCACCCCCATCATTCTCATCATCCAACAACGCAGCTCCATCATCCCCCTCCTCTTGGTTGTCGAGAACCTCGTTGTAGATGCGTTCAGACACCAGTTTTGGTGTATCGGCGGCATGCAGGTCTTCGTGAATGCGTGCGATTGCGTTGTGGGCTGGAACATTGGTTGAATCGTCTGTAAGATAGAATATTAGTTGTATAGAAGCTCAGAGTATCAATAACACGCACCTGGATTGCTCTCAGCATCCATCTCGTCATTTCCTTGCGGTGCACTTGTTTGCCAGAAGTTCGCGATGCCACGCATGGCAGTCTTGAAGCCGGTGAGAAGTTTGGTGGGAGCCTTTCGTTTGGCAGTGGATTGTGGCAGAGTCGAGCTCAAAGAGGTCGGCAGGGGAGGTGGAGGTGGTGCTGATGGCGCTGAGACGGTAGGTTTCGATTTAGGCTTGTTTTTTGAGCCTTTAGGGCGGCCAGCACGTTCGCGAAACCCACCACGGCCCTTTTTGGCTGAAGTCGTGTCGTCTGCCATTCGTAGAAGCCTCAGATGACCGCGCGATGGCGGGAAGCAAGCAAGAAGCACCTTCGTCAGCGTGAGAGATGGATGACGAATCTCGGGCGGGAACGGAGCGGTGGAATATCAATCAACTGTCATGGCTTATCCCTTTTCGGCGATAAGCCAACAACAGCCATGGCTTATGAGCCTTTCATTCAGCATGTAGTCCATTTTTATTGACTTCGAATTCAATAGGATGTCTACTATGCTATGCGACGCAGCTAACATATCTTGGAGTCACTGGTCACTGGTGACGTCGTGTTGGCGCAGCACTAGTGCCAATGGTGAGGTCATTGATCTCTGTGCGGTAAGCCCCGTCAGCTACCCGCTTCCCTCTGATTCGTGGCCGTATATCCTCTTGGCGCGTCGTATATCCCGACAGCGCACCGACCAAGACACAAACTGACTCTGGCGAACGGGCGTTGGTGTCTCTGCCAATAGAGCGATATAGTTCGGACTCGGATGACGCACCACTGGCATCGCCGCCTCGTGTCTGGGACTCCACTCCACAACTCGCAAATTTGGAAGAGCGATGGGGGGAAAGATAAAAGCAGCTCCCTGGTCGGTCGCTCGCCACATACCCCACCTCTCATAAGCCCTCATATTTGTTCTTTGCTTTCTTCTATGACTGCATACTACTCTCCTTCCACGGCCCGTGCTGAACAGCGCAAACTGCGAGCGGGCGTTGCCGACTGGGCGGAGGATGTGTCGCGCAGTACGCCTTCGACTCACCGGCAATCTCGGGACCGCAGCGCGACGATACACTCTCATATTCATTCCCCGCGCCACCACGACACATCGACGCTCTCCCCTGACGACTCTATGTCCCAGGTTGCCAGCAGCCGCCACACCCGCTCCCACACCCGCTCTTCTCACTCGCGCAGCGACGACTCCCCCCGGCGGCGGCATACGACTGGCTCGCGATACTACTCCCGGACCGTCTCTCCCCCCGGGCCGGCGACGTCGTACCCACCCGCACATGTCCACGCTCCCGTTCCCTCGGCCTACGTCGTCCATCCCGCACGCGGGCACTCTCCGCCCCGTGTCGACTTCGTTGTACGTTCCAATTCGTCTTGCCCTCGAGCAACGAATCACTGATGCAAAATCCCCAGTACCCCCCGCAAATTGTCCCCGTTCCGCACCCGGTCCAGATTGTCGAGTCGCCCGTCATCTATTCTCCGTCGGTGTCGCCGAGCTCCTCGCGGCGCAGCAGGGGCTCAGTGTTCTCGCGGATATTCGGGCAGGGGAAAGCCAAGAGGAGGCGCAGCAGGAGCGTCAGCGTCGAAAGCTATCGATACTAGTATTAGTGTCTGAAACTGTATGTTTTACAATATGCATGTGGTTTGACAATTGCGGAGGAGGGCTAAGGCTTGAACCCCAAACACAATACAATGCAATGCAATACTCACTCAATATATTGGGTTTTGGTGTATGTGCATGGAAAGTAATTAGTTGGAGCCTTAAGCAGGGCTAGCAAGCTCCGCGACGCTAACCTCCAACAGCAGTTGTAGCCGCCGCACCCGAGGACACCGCCAGCGTGGAAATCGGCGTCATGCGCAGCGTGCCGCCCGTGACCACCGCGCCGGGCACGGTGAAGAGCGGGACTGGCGTCTTGTCTGGCGCGATGAGCGGGAGCACTGCGGATGAAAGTCAGCACCTCCTGATAAGTAGTAAAAGACGCGTAAAATGTAGACATACCGCAGTATGCGCGTCTGATTCGTTCGTCAGCCGCGCCATCGGCGGTAAGAGGGGACGACGCACCCGGTAACCAGATTCGTGCACGCCTCATTGACCTGCGGGTTGAGTGTGCGGAAGTCGGACAGCGTGATCGCGTCTGTGCGTTGTCAGCAGTCAGCGCAGGAATGTATCATCTGGTGTGTGCGCACTGGCCAGGAGGAGTCGCGGGCAGAAGTCCCCCGACTGGACAGTGTACCACCGGCTGCACGAGCTGGTAGCACCGTCAGATGTGGGCCCAGGTGGAGCACTAGATGAGCGGTTGGCGATGATTATGCTCCGAGAAGAAGAAGGAGAACACACACATTGTGGCCGTTGGACTCTGCGTAGGGACGGCGCTGCCACCGTCATTACTCAGCGCAGGGAATCCTCCTGGGGGACTAGGAATCCAAAATCATCGGTGAGAAATGGAATAGGGATATGGACACGCACCCCATACAGATACGCATGTTCGCACTACTGCGCCTCCCCGGCCCGAGCTTACAAATCCCATCCAGCGTCGGATTCCACGCAACGAGCTGCGAGACCGTGATCTTCGCCGGCAGGCCCCCGCCGAAATTGTTGATGTCCTGCACGGCGTCCGCGCAGCTCTCTGTGCTGCCCATAATATACGTCGTGCACGGCTTGGGCACGCAGAGGCGCGAATTCTGGCTCACACCTTGGAGGCACGCGGCGGGCGTGATCCACGGGTTGAGCGTCATGATGTCGAGGTAGCTGAGCGAGAACTGCGTCGCGATCGCGTCGCAGGTCATGGTCTTGCTGAGCACGACGTTGATGTTCGGCGCCAGGCACGGCGGGGTGACTGGCCCGGGCGGGCCCGGAAGGGAGCTGCTCCCGCGAGTATAGGCCGGGACGAGAGCGCGCGGGGTGGTGTTATATCGCGAGTAGCCGCTAGCAGAAATGATTGGCGCGACGGAGAGGAAATTGGAGTAGAAACGCACGTGCCGCAGTCGCCGAGGATGTCCTGGAACTCGGCATACTGTGCCGGGGAATATTCCAGCGGGTCAGAAAGCGTCGTCTTGATCGTCTGCAGCACACAGGACGAGCACTCAGCGTCGCGCCCGCCAGGGATGTCCGCCCATTCCGTCAGATCAAACCCAGAAAAGTCTCCGTGAAGTGCAGCCATCGCAATGGGACACTGTGTTGATATATCCCTAGAGCGCTGTCAGTGGAGTCGTTCGGAGATAACGGTACGCAACTCGTCCTTCAGGCAGCGCGCGTTGTACGGCCCGAGAATGAGGTCGACGGCGAGGCTAGCTAGGACGGTAGCGCGTTAATAATTAAGCCGGATTCACGAAGGGTATACCGACCTACGTGGGTGGACCCATTTGGTCCCGGCCACGCGTACCCCGCACACGCACTGGCAACGGCGCTGCGGTACGACTGCAGAGCGGTTTTGCACGCAGTAGTGCAAATGGTGTCGACGGAAAGCGCGTTGGCGTAGACGCTGTACTGGACACTTGGGTCACAACCAATCGTTGCTGTCAGCGCCGAAGCACACGACGACGATGGCGCAGGGGAGGTCGGGAGCTGCGCGGAGGTGTAGAACTGGAAGGTCGCGAGAGCTTGGACACTGGCGTTTGGCGCTGCGACTGCGACGAGAGGCTGGTGGGCAGCCAAAGGGGAAGCGGAGGATGGGCTGGCTCCCTCAAGGTTCTTGAAGTGCTGGTATGTCGAAGGCCGAGCGAGAACAGCAGGGAAAGGCAGCCCGAGAAGGTAGGCGACGATGCGTAGATGCATGGCCGACTTGAGTACCGGATGGCAGCTTGGTTGGCGTTATGAGGGCACCAATATTGTGGTGCCCAAGTTGTTATTGCTTAGCCACGCAGTGCGTATGATAAAGCATTCCGCTGACAGTCTGTCTCCGGGTTTGTTCCCCCTGGTCGCTACGCGCCAGGTGCAGCATCTGCATTCAGTTGCGGGAACACGGGCGCTCATCTCCGTGGGCGTGGGACCAGAATGGAAGCTCGCAAGAAGCGCCGTGGGTGGGGTGTGTGTTGGTGCTGGGTGGAAGCCGCAAGAAAAGGTGCTGACGTGGCCGTGTGACGCATGACAGTCACAATGATGATCGGCTAATCTTTTGCCAGCGAACCACCACATGCGCCAGACGTGCCGCTCGTCGCTCGCTCGCTCGTCTAGGGTGACTAGCAAGTGAATAGGATTGGCGCTAGTCTCCCATCGCGCCATCCCAGTCATCGCGCCAATCCAGAATGTCTGCCACTGCCAACGCGACCCGAAGGCACAGGCACGCTCGATCTGTCATTCGGCCCGTCACTGTCGCTGTCGCCCGGTTCTCGGCTCCGGAGATTGCAAATCAGCCAACCGACATCGTGAGTCTCGAGGAATAAAGACAACGGCTCGGCTCACGACGCGCTCGTCAAGGCTGCTTGCACCCCACCTGCTGCCGCCATGAAACTCCGCCCTCTCACCGCGCTATCCATTGTTCTCTTCTCTGCCGCGAGTCTGACTGCGGCCATATCGCAGGACCCCAATCCAGCCCCTGTCGGTGGCAACCGCGACCCCGATCTTGACAAACGGGTCTTCACCTGCTGTGCGTCTCAAACCACTTTTCTAAGTCTGCACACCACTAATTTCATCGCAGTGACGACGGACCAGACCGCCCTCAAGCGCCGTGTAGGCTATTACCAAGGCTGGGCCGCCTCGCGCACTTGCATGTCCTTCCAGCCTGAGCAAATCCCCGCCGGCAGCCTCACGCACATCAACTTCGCCTCCGCACTCATCGACTCGACCTTCAAGATCTCGCAGATGTCCGCCGGCGACACGGGCCTGTGGAGCCGCGTCGTGTCGCTGAAGAACGACAACCCCGGCCTCAAGGTCTACCTCTCCGTTGGTTCGTACCGGCTCTTGTCTCTGAGACTCTGACTTTGTTCAACTCACAATTCCTCAACAGGTGGCTGGACGTTCAACAACCCGCGCACAGCCCATGTATTCTCGAATCTTGTGGGCTCCCTCGCCAACACGAACACGTTCATTACTTCGGCCATCTCTGTCCTGTATGCCTACGGCTTCGATGGGCTCGACATCGATTGGAATGTAGGCCCTCGTCCTCTGGTACTGCGCTGTACTGACCACCCCAGTATCCGGGTGCCCCTGATCGCGGTGGTGTCGCCGCGGACAAGGCCAACTATGTCACCTTTATGACCGCCCTCAAGGTACCGTGTAGGTTATGGGCTCATTCATTGTGCTCATGATTTCGACAGCCCGCACTTGCCGCCCGGGGCTATGGACTCACCTTGTCCGTCTCCCCGCTCCCTTGCGTCTTGCGTCTGAACTGAAATTTATATAGCACTGCACCGATCAATCAGTATTACCTGCAGTATTTCGATCTTCCGAACCTGCTGCTGGTAAGCTTCTCATAGATGTTCTGAGTAAAGCTAATGATGTTTAAATTTATAGCATGCCGACTGGGTCAATGTATGTTTGCTAACTTTTATCCTATGTCATCCTTATATTTGACAACTGATGATAGCTCGCCGCCTATGATCTCCATGGTTTGTGCTTCAATATGCTTGAAATTTTCTTCCCACATCAGGCATTTAGGCTACTATGATGGCATAGATGTGAGTGCACCAGCATGTATTTTTTCTCTTATTTTTTAATGATCTTTGACAGTTCAACTTTGGGTATGGTCCATCCTTATTGTTTGTTTTATCATTGCACTTACCTGAGCCAGCGCCAACATCCGAGCACATGCCAACTGTATGCACATTGACTCACCACAACTTCTTGTTCCTAATCCTCCTTATAGTAACAGACATCAACACTACTTTACAGACATTCTGGCCACAAGGAATTGACCCAAGTCAGATTGTTCTTGGAATGTATGTATCAACATTCCTGCTGGTTATTAATGGTTATCTCAGTAGTTCCCCAGGGCATTCTATGGTAGCTTCTTTCACCTAGATTACACAGCCTCCATGCTCAGAGTATTTCGTTAGGCCGCTCTTTCTCTCTTGCAGATCCAGATTGCTCTCTAGCTGGAGAATGCCTCTTTGTTTCAGGCGGCGATGCTGGTGAATGCAGTGCCAATTCAGGCACATTGATGTTCTCTGAGATTCAAAATATCCTGGCTAGTAGTGGCAACTGGGCAGATCTTGATCTAGATGCAGGTGTAGCATCAATCAAGTTCCAAGAGTATGTTTCAGTATCAACATTCCATACTTTTCTAACACATATGTAGTGATCAATGGGTCAGTGTGGAGACTGCAGAATGTGGGTTTCGAGAGGTTATAAGCATATCAAGAACTAAAATATCTATCAGCATTTGCTATGAAGATTGCATTGTAGGTCTTATAACCCTTTGATAAGCTTCCTCTGATACAGAGCCAGTGCTAACTCTCTATGTCTTGGTGGATCTATGATCTGGAGTGTGGACCAGGTAAATAGTATCATATTCATCGTGTTTAGCACTAAATTCAGTCTCCAGGATGATAATTCCTATAGGTATAAGTTTCACTCTAGACTAGAGTGCACACCTTGATTCTGCATCCAGTGCTATCACTGCTTTATACTCTCCGGCCCCAGTCATCTCAACACCAGCTGTGCCATCCTTCTCACAGTGCTATACAACAGGATGTGGTGCCACCAGTGTCAGTGTATCCTCTCCTGTCAAGTAGCTTTGCTGATGGGGCTTAAACACTAGTGTAATCCAGGTTTCAGGGCAAGCACTACAAATTATAGCCCCACAGATGGAGTTTGCCCAATCAATAGTCCTGCAATGGTCTGCTGCCCAAGACCTTATCTTCCTGGTGAATGCCGCAGTATGAATCGTGTTCTTTTATCTGGAAATTAGCTGATCTAGTATGGCAGAGGGTGGCTTTACAAATCAAGTTACCTCCTGCAATCCTCAATGCAACTCAAATGAGATTCTGGTTGGAAAAGATGTCTTTGGTCCAAGTACCTCAGACTTCTGTATCAGTGGCACAACTGGGATCTGCTGCACAGTGGATGCCCCCTTTCCTCCAGAATGCACCGCAAATGGTCTGTGCTACAATTATGTGATGTATGTGAGCTAATATTAGAAAGGTGCTACTTGGTCATGTCCATATACACTCCCATATGCCAATTGTGCCTGGAAGGGGACACCACCTTTATGTAACCCCTGTCTTCTGTTTTACACTTTATGCTTAAGTATTTTAGGTGATGATGCTGCTTGCCCTGCAGGCCAGATCAGCCTCTGTATGTTTTATCAGCTCACCTTGGTTTTGGAATTTACAATTATAGTGACTGATGTACTTGGTGATGGCCAAAAGCCCTGCACTGCAGGTGGTGGCCGTGTTCTCTGCTGTGATCCAGCATTAACAGACAAGGTCCCCCTGGCTAATGTGTTTCCTAATACCATCACATCTGGCACTGAAGCTGCATATGTGGAGTTAAGCAATGATATAGGCAGTGATGCATCTCTAGTTAGCAGCAACTCATCCTATACTAATGGCAACAAAATGGATCACCCTGCAGCATTTGGGGAGGTCTTTATCAACTCACCCAAGGCCAGCTCTGTCTCCTCTATGGCACTAGCTTCCAATTGGGTCATTGTCAACTGTGATCCAAATAGTGATAAGGAACAAAAGGTATGCTAGCCTTAATATTCATAATTGCCTCATTGATATTGATAACAGGTTCTGGTCTATTGTTCAATTCCTGGTGATGCCTCTTGTTCCCATGTTCATATTGGTGAGTTTCCAAGAACTCTTGATATTTGTCTTAAGCTCAGATATTTGTGTAGGTGGAGCAGAGAACACAATTGTTGAACTACCCAAGTCCTGTGGTGCAGGCCCCTATGCCAGAATCATCAGCATGGATGTCCAATCTAATCACAGTGTGCTTCCTGCTGTACATCTGACTGCAAAGCCACCTAGTGAAAGTGTCTATCTCCTCCACTTTGACTATGACTTTGCAGCAGTTCCCCTTCAAAATGGGCCAATATATATGCGCATAGGTAAGCCTCTTTCTCTAATCGTCTAAGTTTATATGGAATTTTGCTTTAGATGCATCTGACATGCCAAGCTATTGGTAGGCTAGTTATAATTTGAGGTTATTGCTAGTACTGAAAGTTAGCAAGGGATAATGTTGTGGCATCACCACCTTCAAGGAAGAGATGGTTTGACATATTTATTCCATCACACTGTCTCATTCTCATATCTTTAGGATTGAGGAGAGAGATGCTAAAAAAGCCTCTAGTAAAGAGGTGGTGGGGCTCATTTACAAATTGGGTCTCAAAGATCAATACTTTCTCTGGTGACCTTGTACACACTAGATCATTCAGTGAGCTTCATTTCCAATCTTTGATTCCAGTTGTTAATTGCTTCTAGACTGGCATGGTACAAGTTCTGTCTCTGCTGCCCTCACCAGTTAACCTTTATAGATACTCTTCCCATCTATAATGATACCCGTGAATGCCCAGGGCCACCAGAGTTCCAATCAACTTTGGATATCTACCTGACTGGGAAAGCTCGTAAGTGTCTATTGAGTTATACAAGTTAGTGATTATAACAGAATTCAGAACTTACTGCTCGATATGGCCTTTACATAGAGGTGATTTGACTTGAACTATTCAGACTGAATATCAAGTTATTTTCAGGGCACCATTGTTCCTGCAGAGATTAGTGCAGCATATCTCTATTTTGGTTGGTCATATTTTGGCCTGTGTTTATATCTTTTGAGTCCTTTTTCAGCATCAGATGCACGTATATCAGTTTCAGCCACTATTGAAGGGCAAGCAAGTGTCACCTATACATCTGATAAAGGCAAGTATAACTTATTTTCTTATTCAAACCACTAATGCAGTTTTAGTTACTTTGGGAACATATGGATTCCCAGGCCTATATGTGCCTGGGATTGTAAGTGTGGGGCCCACACTAAAACTCACTGGTTATGGTATGTTAAATCCCTGACTGGTCTTCTGCCCATGACTATCATTTTATAGTGGGAGGACAGATAGCTGTGGCAGGGTAACTTCTCTATCAATAGACATAGTTCAACTTTAATGTTGCTTCAGGAGCCTTACTACAGGAATCACCTATAACTTCAATCCAGTCTCATTTGCCCTGGGTAAGAGTACAGATCAAATTGGGCCTGCTGCTGCTGCACCGTATGCACTTCTATCTATGACTCAATAGGTTCTGAATTTCATGACAGATCAGTTAGCAAAGGGTTTGGCTATGACTTCAGCTATCAAATGGAGCTGGATGGGGATATATCTATTCATCTTGTTCCTTCCATCCAGTTGGGCATCCAGCTTTTGAATGGAAAACTCATTGATGCACAAGCATATGTGCAAGCAGGTAGGTCACCAAATAGCAACTTTGCATCACCTTTTTTCACCCGATCTTTACAGATGTATCAGCAGGAATTGGATTCAATGGCTCAGTTTCCAATATTGCTGCTGCTCAGGTGCAGAAATTTCCTTTAATGGCCTGAATGCAGACTTATTTGCAATTCTCTCAGATCTGTGTCATTCCCCACTATGGTGTTACTCTATCTGGTGGACTCACAGGAAATGTTCTCTATTGGGAGCCTGCCTCAACTAACTGGCCATTCTACACTAACAACATTGTTATTGGGGATAAGGTATGATAGTTAACCTTCAGTGATTACTACTGAGATTTTCAGTGCTGGAGCTCTGTCACAGAACCTCTTATAGATGGCTTAGGGGGCACACCTGATCCCACTGCCCGAAAACGTGATTTGAAGATTGCCCATATGGAGCAGTCCTATGGCCAGCTCCCTGAGCTGGCTTTGCACAACTCTACCCAGTCTCCTGCATATTTCCAGATTTCCCCTGCAGAGATTATGGAGCCCGCTAGCATCAGCACAATTGAACCCCGTATGAAAAAGAAGTGTCCCATTGAGGGATGGTTAGACTGCCCTCGTGTTGCAGAAGAGGTTGCAAAAGCTAGATGGGATGGCGACATCTACAGTGATGTTCGAATTGACCAGGCAGAATAGTGAGTGCCTTGTTATCTGTGATTTGAACATTAATTGATCTCTTTACAGTATTGATGGTATATTTTGCACATGAATCTCACTTAAGCTGATATACCTAGATCATATTGGAATTGCTCCTCGGGACTTAGCTGATGATGAGTTTGATGAGGAATTTGCAAATTTAACACGCCGGATATCACTTCCCACTCCAATGGTACATCTTTTGCCTGTGAAATGTTATGGACTCATCTTAATATGCAGGTGGTATCCAAAATTTGCACTCTGTCAATTGACACATGGCCCTGTAATGCTCTGCAAAATTTGTGATGAACATTAATACTGATTATTTGATAGACAGACAGACAGATGGGAATTACTACCACATCTCCAATCCTGGAGACTTGACCTCTGGGGAAATCACTGACCCTGGGGCCACTAATGGAAATCCCGGCCAATCCTATGCAAGGGAGCATGTGTATGAAATGCAACTTAGTGAGTTTTAGCATGAACACCTTTGCAGAATGCTCACTTGGTTCCAGTGACACAGTTTATTGACAATCTGTACAACTATCCCACACTCTATGATGCTGGCCCGTCATCGACCCAGAAGACTGCATTTTGTCGGTTCCTCAAGAACTATATCAAGAAATCCAACAACTATCCAGTGCCCCCAAATCTGAACATGAAGACAGATGAAAATCTCATCAATCAGCTGCGCCGGTGTGTGCCAAGCGACCACAATTCAGTTCTGGATGAGATGCCGAAGTTGGAGAGCACCCAGAACGGGATGAAGGCCTCGGTATAGACTTCCCCTGTCCATCAAATTCCAGGTGCTGATGGCATGGTTTAGGCATTCTCGGACAAGGAGCTGCGCACACAGAAGACATTCAAAAGGTACAACTACAGTAAGAAGGTCTTTGTGCTACGCTCCGTAAGTCCTTCATTGACGGTTTGGTTGACGGATTTGTTCTCACCACAAGTTAGGTGCTCGGCCTGGCACAGTACATGGACCGGGGATATGTCCAAGACCAGTTTGTTTCCGGTAGTGAATGTGTCAAGGCTGTGTGGTGTGCAATCATAATTTCTCTGCTATCCAAAAGTGATTTCTAACATCTTTGGTAGGAAAACATGGCAGACCGCGTACGTTGCGGTGAGTAGCACATCCAGACAGCTGCATCCCGAGTTCCACAATCTGATTGACCCGTCCAGGACAACCCGCCAGCAACGAACCCCGGACTTGACATTGAGAAAATTTATGCCACATGGATCCAAGACAAGGCACAGGATGCGCTCGACAACATTAAGAATGCCGCCACCACCATGATCAACTACATGCAGCTTGAGATGGCCGCAGACACAGCAGTCATCATTGACCCAAATGTCGGGATTGACGCAACGACCATCCCGATCGTTGTCGACACGAACCGTGCCAGAATCAAGTCCACGACGGCGACGACGACGCCTGTTTCACTCAATGACCTGCGCAACGCGATACTGGCCCCGGTGAACGCAGTGCAGTTCACAGCACTCAAGGTACGGTTGAAGGGAAACACACCATGATTTAGAATTCCTGCCTGAATATGTATAAGTAGTGTTATAGCCAGAAAATAATGATCCTCATCGAACCAGACACAATGCAGTTGCAGGTCGCACCGATGAGATATACCCGCGTGTACTCGAACACTGTCTGCAAAGACTGTTTGCCAACTTCTTGCTCTCCAGCAGCTTGTGTTGCTTAAGATGTTGTCGTCAGGGTGTAAGGGGAGCATGTGATGTGACAGCTGTGACTGATCACGTGACTGGTCCGTGCGCAGATAGCCCTGTACTTAAGTAGTTGGCCGTGGGGCTGTTCCCCCGGCTTTGGTATCAACTAGGCACCTGGACCCTCATCCCCTGACAGCATACCAAAGCCTCTATATCGACTCTGGCACTCTTCTAGCCCCAGTTGATCCTCTCTATCTCCTATATTCGTCCTCACCCTACTGTGCTTGCCTGCTCTTCCCCAATGACGACTCCTGGCGTCCCTGTCGACCTGTATTCGTACTGCCTGCTCCTGCAGAGCGAAATTACTCGCCTCACCGACCGTCTCGACCGCCTTGAGTATGGTACGCCTGCTCCACCCCCTGCTCCCCCTTCTCCTGGTCCTACATTCCATGGCGTTTGGGACGGCACTCGCTGGGTTCTTCCAACAGTCCCGGCCCCTACCCCTGCCGTCATCGCTGCAGCCCACACTTCCATACCACTTGCCGAAACCTTCCCCCCTACTGCGCCCGACACTGTCACGCGCTTCTCCTGTACGCTTGTGGTGCCTGACTCGGCTGTCGGGCATATCGTGGGTCGTGGCGGCAAGGGTCTCCACCAAGCTCATGACACTTCCGGTGCTCAGTTGCGCGCGTACTCTGATCGCGCTGCGCCTGGCGAGCGCCGGGTCTCTATCCGGGGAACCGACCAGCAAATCGGTGAAGCGCTTATTGCGCTTGGGAAACGGTTCATGCGCAAGCGTGTCCGTGCGAAGAAGCAACGTCAGCCACCGTCTGCTGAGGGACCTGCCCCCCCTCCTCCTGCCGCGCCTGTGCCTGTACCACGTGCCACGAAGATGGATGTCGACCGTGCCCCTCCGCACCGCTCGTCCACCGTAATCCACGCCCAGTCTCAGGTGCCCCGCGCCACTACTGCGGTTCGACCTGCCACTCATCCGAGGGCCTCGGCCGCCGGTGGGCCAGCTGGGCATTCGCGACTGTCTTCTCCCCCTCTTCCCGTCTTCCCTACCCCGCCAACCTGCTGCCGCCACTACCCCACCTATGCAGGCCGCGGCACCACCTCTCCCTACCCCCCAGCCTTACCCTACTCCCTTCGCACCCTCGGTGGTTATGGCCACTCCGTCGGGCGCTGACCAGCGTCACCTACCCCGATCGGCTCTCCTATGCAGATCGACGTAGCTCACGCCCGGCCGCGTAACCGGCAGACTGCCCGACGAGGGGGTACCTGCGCAGTCATCGCGCGTCATAGGCGACAACCTCTATTTTCCTGGCGATCCCGAATACGAGTTCGCAGAACCCTACACTCCGCCTATCCGTCGAGGCGACGGATCTTGAGGAGGGGTTGGTGTAAGGGGAGCATGTGATGTGACAGCTGTGACTGATCACGTGACTGGTCCGTGCGCAGATAGCCCTGTACTTAAGTAGTTGGCCGTGGGGCTGTTCCCCCGGCTTTGGTATCAACTAGGCACCTGGACCCTCATCCCCTGACACAGGGGTGAAAAGAGATATTGATGTGAGATGCTCCATGGGTTGTGTCTGCACAGGCTACAGGGTGATCCAGACCTTCATGTAAAAGTAGAAATCATGTCAACAAGTTTCTGCTGCCAGTGTAGCAATAGTTAGCGCGAAGAATACCGTATGAGAACGTCAAAGCGCACCGTGCCACCGATAGTCCTCCCTTATGTCAATTTATAAGAGTGTGGGCACAGCTGAGCGGTTGCGCTGCAGGACTGCTCGACACGAAGGGCCGCCATACCGTGGTTGTAATTTATAAGAGTGTGGGCACAGCTGAGCGGTTGCGCTGCAGGACTGCTCGACACGAAGGGCCGCCATACCGTGGTTGTTGTTAGGCAACTGCATGGGTAGGCCATACCCGTGCGGGTACGCGGGTTTTACCCGTGCGGGTACGGGTACGGGTAAGGGATTGCCAGGATTTTCCTACCCGTCGCTTACTAAATCAGGTGGTTTCACTCCTGTAGATTTCTCGAGATGCCCTGTGTTCTACTCTGGGACTCTTCTACCTTTTTTCTCACAGTTTCCGGCCCTAACCTCTTACAGTCTCTGACACATCTCCATCAGTAACCGGTTACCCATGGGTAAACCTGTACCCGTACCCATGTACGGGTAAGGTGGCTGTGCGGGTAAGAGTATGGGTAGCCGTAAGAAACCCAGGGGTTTACCCATGCAGTTGCCTAGAACTTGTTGTCAACGAAGGGAAGAGTGATGACGTGGACATCACGTCTCTGACTCGGCTATCAATTTGTCAACACTCTTCTTCCCGACGGTGACGTCCACCGACGAGTGGCGGGCGGGTAGCTCCCCAATCGAGCTGCATCCGCCCCCCATGTTGGGGCCTTGGTCAGACTTTGCTGGATGGCCTGGAAGAGACTGTCTGGCTGCCCATTGGTCTTCTGTGGGCAGCGGAAGGGCAACGCTCGAATGTCAGTGAGCTTGAGAACTCTTCATTGTGAGCCCGTACTTATACATATCTCAGTCGGACTAGGAACTTGATCATTCCCCTTCTCTCCCCCGCCTGCCTACAGGCACTGGCTGTGCTGCACCCACGTCAACGAAAATGACACGAAAGACTCGAGAAGACAACACACATAGTCGTTGAGGTACGTGCACACGTACGGGCTGTCACACACTGTCGGGCCGGTCCAACTACAGACCGTCAGCGTCAACAGCTCAGTTGCTTGGGGGAGAATCGATAGTCACCCGATTCCGCTGCAACAACGTCATCGGTCCAAGTCACTGGCAGAAAATCGACAAGCACTTACCCGCACTGGCCCCAGTGTGGCGCGCCGCTGAACGTCGGCTGCGCCGAGCTGGAGGTCTTGACCGACGCCGAGCTCGACGCGGACTTCACCGTCGACGAAGGTGGTCTCGTCCACCCGGCCGCTGCCTGACGGATCCATAAGCCCGTGAGCCTATCCGTTGCTTGACGCACCTGGTTTATCGCATGCGCACTGCCCACGGACGCGGACGCTATAATTGCAAGGACTGCCGACTTCAGCTTCATGCCAGTGATATTTGGCTAATTGGCTAGCTAGGCAAGACTCCAGTGGCGGCGAGGCCGCTCAAAGGCTTCTTGTATGGCGCAGTTACCCCAGAGAAACGCCGCTAACAAGCCGCCAGCGCCGCCACAGACGTCGCGGGCGCCGCCGCGGATGAGCATCGCAGAAAATCGCTCTTTGTGCGGCGCATGTGGTTAAAGTTGCCATAAAGTTGCCAGGAGCCTGAGCTGGCGGCACTGGATGAGAGAGGGTGGAGCGATACGCTAAGATACCGTATACGGGGAAGCGCCCATGGTCCGCCGCCGGCCCCGGAGGGCATCGATATCTTCGACTGGTGTGTGTGCGGATGAACATCGCGGGCCGGTCCCCATCGAACGAGTCATGCAATTCAATGGTAAGTACCTCCGGCCTTCGGTCATACTTCGCTGCCAGTGTCCGGTATCCTTCAGCGCTCCCGGGTCGTCTTATCGTGATTTGCCAGCGTACTGTGCGGGGAATTGGCAAATGTGGCAACTGGCAACTGGCAAGAGCTTCCGGTAAAGAGTTTTGCATGTTTTCAGCACATCTACTGCACATCGAGTTGGCTGGAACTTATGCATGTTGTAGGGGCTATACTTCCAATCGGTACGACTAGGCCGAATTCAGCCAAGACCCTCCCAGTTGATGTCGGAGTCTATCAGTGACACCGCGACATTGCACCTTCCATCCGCGAGAAGCAATCGCGCCCAGTCCTCTGTTCCCATAGCCAATCCGTCTGTGCGCAACACGATGTTCACCTGCCGCAAACTCGGCATAGACTCAGGATCGAAGACTTCCCGCCATATCGCCATCTCATCCCCGTTCCTTGGCGCCCATGAAAGGGAGAGCGTGTCGACGGCGCTCCACGCAGCGGCGAGGGACGGTGCATTCGCGGCGCTTGGAAGGAAGGCGGCGAATGCGATCTGCGCGGCGGGGTCAAGACGGGACGAGCGGACCCACGAGAGCGCTAGTTCGCGTGGCTCGGCGAGAGCCGGATCCAGACTCGCATGGAAGCGGAACGCGATGGAGAACCGGAGTGTCTGGTACGCGTCGGGATCCACACTATGCATGTCACAATGGCGCTCCAGCCGCATCGTGGTATGGGCTGCGGGCGCCGCAGTAGCAAAGTGGGCGGCGAGCACGCTGTTGATGTGTTCGGCGTGTGGCAGACTGTCCCGAAATTTGACGCGACAGGAGGCCAGCCGTGGGAGGGAGAGGTTGTTGAGCAGCAGCATGGCGCCAGACCCCGTGATCCCGCCCTCGAAGTCATCTGTGATGTCAATTAACCGAAGACAGGGGAGGAGTGCCAGTGTCCGGGGCAGTGTCGCGGGGATGCGGGGCGGCAGCGTTTGGTGGTATGTGTAGACGGTCAGCGTTTGGAGACGGCTGCAGGCGGAAATGGCGTGCAGCAGAGAGTGTTCGGGATCTGGGCGCCACACAATGTGAAGCGCGCACAGAGTCTGTCCAAAGTGAGCGATGTCGCGGACATTCGGCCCGGCATCAAGTGTGTGTAAGAGCGGGTTTGCTGGAGGCGATTGCGGCGGGCATGGTGTCTCGGGATTCCCCATTTCGAGATTGAGAACCATCTCGGTGAGGAGCGGGAAGCCCGCGCGATGCCGCAGCGTATGCGAAATGTTTGTGTGGATCTGGTCGTCAGCGTGGAGACGAATTTCCGCCACCTGCCTCCTCCCCCGCTCAAGCACCACCAAGAGACGGCCCTCAAGCGCCGCCTTCGCGTGGTCACTGGCATGGTCCCGCCGAGACCGTCGAAGGCGGCAGGCTATGACCAGCGGAGCTGTCTTCGCACGGCGAAAGCAAAGCTTGGTCCGTCGAGGGGTTGAAAAGTCAATGAAGGCCCATAACTGTGGGGTACTGAGTGCCACTTGACGCCAGTAAACGCACACGTAGCTGCATTGAAAGTGCCAGAACTGCGGGCCGAAATACCCATGCGACGGGTCGAAGGCGAGGACATTCGGGACCATGGCGCGGCAGACCTCTATGAAGATGTGGCCGAGAAGTTCTGTCGGCAGAGTGCTGATATGGGCTTGGGATTGACTGCATCTTTGTCGGGAAAGCATCGGCTGGTCATCCCAGTCATCTTCTTCGTCGAGGAAGGGCACGAAGCTCATGAAAGCTTCATGCTCATCCTTCCACCGCGAACGCACCGTCGAAGGGCTAATTGTTGGTGCGGTGGAGAACACTGGCAGATTGCGCAACTCTACGTTTCCAGTGAGATGTTGTCCGAGCGAATGGCAGGGACGCACTTTGCTTTATCGCCTTCATCGTGGTTAGTGCCAAGGACGGTTATCCCAAAACGGAAATCACAGCCTCAGTCACACGAGGCTGGCAGATCTAGATGACAAAACACTTTCTTCGGAAGCTGCATTTGTGGGGAAGGATACAATTAGACGAATATTTCAAGTGTTCTCATACGACGACCTCTGGGCTTAAGACACACGTCTTATCCACAAGTTCCACAAGCCGATCGACAGGCCCGCACTCGCGAGCGTCGCCGGCCCGCCGACACGCACGCCACGGGCCGCAACGTGGCGCCCCACGCGTTCGGTGAGCGCCGTTGTCCAGAGAGTGCCGAGGACGACCGCGGGCACGAGGTAGTCATAGTATGTGCTGTCGACCACGGGCGTGCGGATGACGAGGCTGAGTGCGAAGAGCGTCGGGTGGAGGCCCCCGGTGACGAGCGCGGTGCCGCAGGCAGTGTGCAGTGCGCCCAGGCGGATCACGCGGAAGGGCGGGAAGCGGAGGGTGCCCTTTAGCGGCTTGTGTCAGCGAGAATGACAAATGAAGGCAGGCTCAGGCACGCACTCGTTTCGCCGCCACCGCTGCCTCCGCTGTGTGGGCAACCGCGCCGCACACCCCGCCGATCGCGAAGCCACTCGTCCCGTAGACCGCTGTTGCCGCGCTGGCCAGGGCCAGGTCAGCATTTGCATGCAAAGGAAGATCCGGGTCACGCACCCAAGGCTCGCCAGTCTGTCCTTCATTCCGACCTTGGGGTCGTCGTAGCCCACGTACATGAGGACCAGCGTGCGGTCGTACCACAGTTTCGCCTTGCGCGCCAGTGGCTCGGATGTCCACATGGTGGTGAACGACAGCCCTCAGCCCACTCCTTCCTCCGTGACTTGCTACTGAGCGCAGGTGTTGTTGGCCGAGGGGACGCCTCACCCAAACGGCAACGCTGATGACGGGAGAAAAGAAGAAGAGATTGATGTCAGCACTGTGACGTCACCTCGGCGAATCGGCATAAACATCTGAATCCGGGTTTAAGTATATCACCAAGTCTTCTGTCTTGAAGCAACTTAAGTGGTTACCATAAAGCTTCAGAAATTTGTGGACCATGATGAAAAACTATATGTAGAAGATGAAATTTTCAATGTCACTCACCCTTATCATAACCCCCTCTAAGAGGGTTAAACCAACACTATTGAATTTTTAGTCAGTCTGGTGGATGCACTAATGCTTGTGCTTGAACTCATTGGTACTTACTGTGGTCTCAATGTCGATGCTCCTGAATCTTCATTATCTAATTTTTTTAAAAAAAATCACCTGATTACTAGAAAATTATACATCAAATCCAATATTCCCTTTATCTAGTGTCTGCCTATCCCAAGCTTATCCAGAATATCTTTTGATAATAAAGTTAGCTTACTATCTACACCACCAAAGTGCTTACAGGTGTGACCTAGCTGGACATTCCAGGTGGTTTCCACATGGCCCAATACATGGGTCCAGCTGATTTCCAGCTGATCTGCTCAGCTGGAAATTCCAGCTGGAATATAGATGCTGTCTCTATATGTATCCCAGCACCTTTGCCAGACTTATACTGTACAGACTAAATAAAATAATTTTGGCTTCTAAATTGGTACATTTATTTATCTAATATCTAGTTTATGGAATTGTTATGAATATATATTAGATAGTATGCCAATACAATAGCCCATATATAACCACAATGGAGCTGCCACAGGAAAACCAGAGGTAGATAAGAAGCCAACTTTAGGGCCGGTCAACTTCCTCGACACTTGCGCTCGCAGCCTGTCGCAGGGTGACTTGACAGTTGCCATCAACAATAAAGCGCCCAACGTCAGTACTTGATCCGGCTTCCATATTGGATCAGGAAAATTTTCGTCACACTCCAAACTTTCTTCTTCTTCCCCTTCACCCCCCATTGAGGATCAAGCTCTAGCTTCCACCCAAGGTCCATTGACGGTGCGTACTACACACTTTCCCTTCCACTAGCGCTAACTGCGTTACTTTCCTGCCCCAGCCAGCGTCCGAATGGCCCACCCTCGAGCTCAGCGACAGTCACAGTGGGGTTCATGTCCAGTCTCGGCGGTAAGTGCTGCACCTTTCCTCAAGAACGTTGCTCAACGCTTGTGCCCAGTGGCACCACACACCCGCCACACACCCATCCACGCCCTAGCACCTACACTCCCCGAGCCCAAGGATTCACTCGACGCAGCCTTGGTCGCGCAGGGTCTCGAAGGTGGCTACCTGGGCGGGCATGCGGCGCATCGGGTCGGGGAGGACAAACCCGCTCGAGCTGATAGTGGCGGCCTGCGTGTGGCAACGTCGGCGACAAGCGCTTGCGTCTGCGGCTTGGCGCGGGAAGAGCGGGGCTGGGGGGCGTTACTCCTGCTCCACATGCTCACATTCGACTTCGGGAGCCGCGACCGGTCCACCTCCCCGTGCTCCAGGCGGTTGTCCTCGACGCAGATCTATGCTGGCTGTGCCCCTCATTTGTGTCTCAGTAAGCGCCTTCCAAGTCATTGGATTTCCCAAGCCTGCTGACCCCATTTCTTCAGTGTGCCTCGAGGCGGGTCTTTCCAGACGTCAAACGTCGGACGCTGGCGCGCGCGCGGGGCGGGAGGCAGCGTGTCTGGCGTAGGCAACAAGGGCGCGAGGCAACGAAGGCGCAAGGCAACGAGGGAAGTGAACGAGACGGCCGTTATTGTAGAATGAAGGTGTATTTAATTACTGACTGCAATATATATCTTTTTGTGTCTTTTTTGCATTTGCACTGCCTGCCCAACTGCCTCTGTCCTACCACTGTCCAGATATTATTGCTGCCTGGACTTCCAGCTGGTACCCAGGCCCTCTGGATCCATGCTGGATCCATTTGCGACCAAAGATGGTCGCCATATGGTGCTGATCCGGGAACTAGCCGGACATCACATGTGTCCACCGGGGATTTTCCAGTCATGTCACAGGTGGAATCCCGTTGGCGGTGTAATGACCCATTCATTTTATTACTAGAAACAGAATGTGAACTTACATTGTATATAGCAGGGGTTGCAGCAGCATTCCAAAGTGGCTAACAAAGATTATTGTCAAGGGTTATTAAGTCAAATAAGTAAATACTGACCCATTTTGATCAATTCAGCAGGCCTGCGACCTGTGACTGTGTCACTGAAATGTCCAATCTAGCTGCAGGCTGAATTTCGTGTAACCTATTACCCGCTTAGGAAATCAGAACTTTTTGAAATTTCGTCAGTTGTGATCTGCGACCTGCCAGAATATTTTGGCCAAAAAATCTGATGTGACCATGACCAGCAGAATTAAATGAAATGGGTCAGTATGTAGCAACAATACTAATTAATCTATGGTGACTCTTTTAATTCAATGTCCAATTAAGAAAATCATCCTTAGGATTGTCTTTGGAAGAGAATATAAAAAGCAAATCATATTTCTCACATTTTCTGATCATGATTCTAATCATCACAGGCATAAACTCCATGCCAAGGGCATAGGTGGAAAAGATGGTTCAGGGGATGATTATGTGAATTTCATGTGACATTGAATTCCTGACCAAAAAGTGACTTTCTGTCAATGCCAGCACTGAGCTGTTTTTACCAATAAGATTAAAAACAAATTCACACACTATAAAACTTGTAGATTTGTCTCTGCAGATCAAATGTCTATGTTACATATTACACAGCCCCCAAAAAATCTAAAACTCTTGGAAACAAATTGCAAAAGTTGATTTTCACATTTTATTTTTATTTTTCTAGCCTTGTCAGGCACAAGAAAAATATCATCTGAGTTAAGGAAACCCTTCCATCATGTTTATAGGGTAGAGCACAGGTCAGGGTCAATCCAGTGGGTCCAATATTCTGTTGTGATTCAACAATTCACTATCTAAACATGATTTTTTATCACTTTGTAAAACATAAAAAAAAAAATCAAGTCGCTCATGTGACATGTGACATATTAGGAAACTGTATTGAATATACTCAAGATCTTGGGAAGTAGGCTATATATACTATACCTGACCTAATATCTAGCAAAACATATATTATGTCTAAATTATTGTCACAAAAACAGTTTCTGCTTCCATGTCTGTACCTGTGGGTAAACCAGGACCCAATTGGACCTCTACCCGGACCTGTGCTCAACCCTATATGTTTACTGATAGTAATTAACATACCATCATTCACCAGGATCTGCAAGAAGATTTTCCTGGCACCTTGCATACAGCATAGAGTGTCACAAACAACACCAATTCAGAGGATGCCAGTTGGCCAGTGAAGGCAAGCAAGAAGCACCGTGAAAAGATATCGTAAAGATGATGCAATTCGAAGACTGGGGTACAAGACGAAATCTACTCTACTTATATACACTACTACCATGTGTTTACCATGCCTAATACGAGAGGCAATGACATCATACTTTAGCCATGCCTTTACGTGCTGTCTGCCTCATGTCCAACTCCACGCTGTCAATCAACATCAGCATCGACATCTGATGATCTAATCACTATCTTATCGTCCATCTTATCTCCTCCTTGTCTTATCTTATCAACCAGGGCCAAAATAAAAGGTTTAAAGGGCGAAGAAAAAGGGTTTTTGAACCCAGGGTTTGACATTACCCCCCCTTCAAGGTCGACGTCCTCGTCGACAGAGGGCATTAAAGCGCGTTCATCATCCACCCCCCCTTCAGCCTCCACAAAATGGCCAGTCTGATAATTAAAGAGTTTCCGGGACGGATATGGGAGCTTCTCTTGCGTCGGCTTATAACGTTTGACCAGGTAATCCCAATGACCCTGGGCAAGGACAGGCACACTACGGGTCTTGACCACTGGGTTCTTCTGGTTGAACTCGTCTAACAATTCTTGGGAGTTCTCAAGCCTTTGCGCCGTCTCCCATGTATCCTCGCTATGCGGATATCCCTTCCACTTCACCAGATACTGCCAACCACGACCACGCTTCCGCTTCTTTATAATCTCCTCAACCTCCCACTCCTCGTGATCATCCACAATGTCCGGTGGC